AAAAAAAAGTTGTAAAAGAATAACAGACCAAAACCGAGAAACCAAAAAATTTTCGTAGGATCGCTAGAAAGAAAATAAAGCGGAGTGTGCTTGATATCTTCTGCTGAGCGCTACCTCTATCATTGCCTTCCTACACGCGCACTCCTGCGAGTGTATGAAATCGGATCTCGAACTGTGTATACTACCACCGACGCAGACTACTATAAAGAGCGCTCAGTGGGTACACTATAAACCTATCTCATCGCTGACCGATGACTCGCCCATTGAGTTTGTCGTGCCGGGTAACGGCGATGAATACCTCGATCTAGCCCACACCGTGCTGAGTTTACGTGTGCAGTTGTGATCCAAGGACACGTTAGCGCCGGACACTTTGAGCAAAGCAGCTCCTGTTAACAATCTGCTACACTCGCTATTCAATCAGATGCACGTGTTTTTTAATCAGAAACGCGTATCGTCGCCTAATAATGCGTCCACTTATAGGGCGTATATGGAGACGCTATTAAAATACGGGCCCGCCGCTAAGGGGTCACACCTCTCGAGCGTGCTCTGGTACGACTACACGCCCGGTCATATGGACGATACAGCGGGCAAGAATATAGGTCTCACGAATAGACAGACGTTCGTCGGTAAAGACAGGACGGTCTATCTAATCGGTCATTTACACTGCGATGTATTTAATCAAGAAAAGTTTTTTTTAATCGGCGTTGACCTCCGTTTACGCACAAGAGACGGCATCTCCCTCATGGACCACAAGAGCGAGTGTTCTTTACACAAAACGGAGACCACGCTCCTCGTTAGACCCGCCAAATTAAGCCCCGTTATTCTGCTAGCGCATTCTAAAATGTAAGTCAACGGCAAAGTATCCGCTTACACGTGTGGAAGTCAAGGCACTGACGATGCACGCGGGCTTGCACGGGGGGACGATGGATAATTTGATTCTTGGTCAATTACCGAAGCGGATTATAATAGACTTCATCAATAACAAGGCCTTCAACGGCAACTATCAGCTCAACCCGTTCAATTTTAAAAACTATTTTATTAATTTCTTATCGCTGTATGCCAACGGTGTTCAAGTACCCTCGAAAGCACTGCAGACCGATTTCGGCAAAGTCGATTTTTACGTGGACGCGTATCATACACTTTTCAGTGGTACGGTTATACACTTCCTCAACGAGGGTAATTGGATTTCGAGGAGCTTTTACCCAGACGGCTACTGCCTGTTCGTTTTCGATCTTACACCCGATCTCTCGGCAAATAGCAATACCCACTGGAACCTAATCAAACACGGTAGTGTACGAATCGAGGTACGTTTCGACGAACTGCTGGCCGCCACCGAGAACTGTATCGTATACGCAGAGTACGATGACATTCTGGAGATCGACGCCTCGCGTCAAATCGTCGTAGATTACGGCGAATAAACAATCGAAGAAAATACATAGGCTAACTGTTTAGGGTATGCGTCTTCATCTTTTGTGCACTCAGTATCGCGGGTGATCGTTAGCATTGTTGTTAGTTTCTCGTTGGACGCCTCTGAGTTAGCACTCCAGTGATGGATTTTGTCCTAGGGGCGTCTGGTTCCGAAGGAAATTGGCGTCGTGGCTGTGGAAAGAAGATATCCCCCAGAAAAACACTTACGTGTAGAAAACTACGCCAAGTACAGGAGTGCTGTGTATTCGTCAAATAAAAAGTATTGATATCAGATTATTGAGGCCAAGTACATAATTCACTACATGTTTGCCTATTATATCATCTAGCACTAGCCCATCATTTTAATTGTATTTTCAAAATTTCCTACAACGTTATCACTACTCTTTTACATTATTACTGCTTGCCGTAGTTGATTATGATTTAATGGCCATTTAATAATTAATGAAACTTTAGATGATTCCTCATGAGTACTACTTGGAGGGTCCGTGCATTTCTTGACATAAATTTGCGTTCATTATGCCAGTCATCAAACTCGAAACCAATGTCAACTTTCTATATAGAGCTTAATAACAATAACTCGTCAAAAATAATCACGGTAAAAGCTTAATAACAAACATATAGTTTTAGCATACTATTAGTACGTTCAAAGTAAGTACTTTGGAATTCCTGGCACGGACCCGCCAAGTAGTACTCGAGAATGAATCACCTAAAGTTTTATTAATTATTAAATGACCGTCAAATCATAATCAACAGAAAGTTGACATTGGTTTCGAGTTTGATGACTGGCATAATGAACGCAAATTTATGTCAAGAAATGCACGGACCCTCCAAGTAGTACTCATGAGGAATCATCTAAAGTTTCATTAATTATTAAATGGCCATTAAATCATAATCAACTACGGCAAGCAGTAATAATGTAAAAGAGTAGTGATAACGTTGTAGGAAATTTTGAAAATACAATTAAAATGATGGGCCAGTGCTAGATCATATAATAGGAAAACATGTAGTGACTTGTGTACTTGGCCTCAATAATCTGATATCAATACTTTTTATTATAGGAATACACAGCACTCCTGTACTTAGCGTAGTTTTTTACACGTAAGTGTTTTTTTGGGGGATACAATTCAAAAGTAATAACAGTTGGTTGTATGCCACATCTTCACTGAAACCTTCAAAATTATTTGCAATAAAGGAGTAGAAAACACGATTATAAACGAAATGAAAATATTGTTACTTTCACGGGGATGTACTGTTGTATCACATGATGAAATATTACGCTCACAGGTACGAAGAATTCTAGATAATAATAAGGCCTTTACTCCTGTGATAACCTGTAACTTCAACAAACATTTTCAAACTTTTAATGATCCACAGTTAAAACCGTTTGATCAAAATTTATGCTATAGAAACTCCCGATGTTGAAATAGTAAGCACAATTAAATACAGTAACGTCCAATTGAAGTGAAACACTTGAATTTTTGTGTATTTCTGTGAGACTATGACCGATTTCGAAAAACCAAAGATATATTTCTTAGGAAATTTCCTTCCTGTTCGATTGATAAAGGTTTTATCCCGATCAGATACAAAATAGCCGAACGGCAGGGGTTGGAATGAAATAGTGCATTTTAGGACTTTTTGAAAAGTGCGAGAGTTAGTTGTTCCGGAAGGAAATTCCTATTTCTAATTATGGCACGAAAAAGTGCATCCTTCGGCAGTGAAAAATTATCCCCATTGAACCTCCGTAACACCACTCTAGGTGGAACAATACCCCCTTAAAGTGAAAACACTTAATTGGCAATAACTTTCGAACGCGCCGGCCGATCTGGTCCAGTTTTTGCGTGATATCATCTTTAATGATACTGCAGATTCTCACAAATTATTGTTGGAGACGGTCCCGTGACTGAGATCTCGAGATATCGTAAGCGTACCCGAAGCTTCCCCACCATTTTTCATTAGGAATTCGATGAAATAGAAGATTCACGTTTATCTCACGTTGTAGCTGAGATTTCAACGATTAAAACGCGCTTTTAAACATCCAAAAATGAGTTTGTTAAGGGATCAAATTTTTCATTTGAAAAAACGCTTAAATTTTGCGAGTTTCCCTCGAGGTACTCGGGTGACTATTACCTTACCTGCGCATCAAGCGGTTGTCGAAACGGTTGTCGAAACAAGCGAAAACGCAACTTATAGCTACACCTCCGAAAAATGGGCAGTCTATGATTAGAATTCGAACTGATAAGGTGGTCTCGTGTAGTAGACGTGGTGCAGGAAATAGGTAAAAACCGAACGGTGCCTATACTTTACAAGTCGACAAATGTCGAAACCACTGTATATCTCTTTCGGTTATTTTCAATAAACCTTCTTTGTTTTGTTATATTCTTGCGAGTTCTAACTCCTTAACCGGCAACGATCCCAAAAACATCGTAGCTCTAACCTTTCAACCGAACTCCTTCGGCTCCGAGACATTACAGCACAGCATCGATGTTCGATGGTTCCAGTTTCATAATGGTTCCAAAGAATTCCAAAATTCACAAAATAGATGCAGACAAATTACGAAATAGACAAGACTCCTCGAGGGCTGACTTCCTCGCTTTTTAATTGACGAGATAAAAGTGTCTAACGTGTTAGGCAATGCGTACTTTACCGATTCACTTTTTGCGTGTCCACGTGGTAAGTTCAGCTAACGCTAGACCTGGCGAAATGAATACTTCAGCGCATGCGTATTCAGCCCACCAGTGTCTTCGTCAAACTACTGCACCGACCATATATCGTCTCGTTGTTGCTCTCACCCGATATCCTACATGAATAGACAATAGACCCACTGGTTCGACAATTATTATTGACATATAATAAATTATAATGCAAGTAATATAAACTAACCTGCATTGCTATAAATAATACATGTAACATAAATTCTATTTCGACAATTATACCTTGCGCGTAAATTCATCCCTAAGAGCGCTCGAGGAGATGGGCAATGTACACTGAGCGACGTTAATGGCATCCCAGAGAGAAGTGGCGTGGAACAGTGGCGAAGCGACAGTGGAAGCGGCCAGCAGCCTAGAAGCAAACCAGCCCGGAGCATAGTGGGGGTAGCCTTTTCCCCTCGCTCGGGACGCCATTTATATCACGAGTTGGAGCCGTCCCGTATAAGAGCATCTCTCTCATTCCTAGCGTCGGTTCCCTATAAGACCCTCTCACTCGTTGTTACTGATGGCGCAGCAAGTCCCTGTAGCGCGTATAAAAGCATCTCACTCAAAACAATCGGCTCTCTCGCTTCCACCAATACCTCAGCCACCGGCAAGGAAGTTGCGCCGGTAGAACTGTGAGCCCAAGCGAGACGCTCTTATAGGCAAGGTGCGTACACGTAAACGAGACATTCTTATACGCGTTACAGAGACTTGTTACGCCATCAAACAACAACGAGTGAGAGAGTCTTATAGGGAACTGTCGGTAGGAGTGAGAGAGACGCTCTTATATGTGACTGCTTCGACTTGTGACAGAACTGGTGTCCCGAGCAAGGGAAAAAGGCTACCCCCACTACGCTCTGGCCGCCCCACTCTCGCTTCGGCTCATAGCCTGTTTGACGCAACGTCCTTGACGGTGACTAAGGATTGCTGGAAGACAAAGAGTCCATTGATTTGATTGAGATGGTCTTATAGGCAGGGATAGAATGCGTGAGCGAGACGCTCCTATACGCGCTAGAGAAACTTGGAGATTCACCGCTAAGAATGAGTCAGAGGGTCTTATAGAAAACCTACGCTAGGAATCAGAGAGTTCTATTCTGACTAAAAAACTATAACATTAACAATATGTAACTGTTACATTTATTTGTTGCAAAACCCTTTTGACTTTTATTTACATATTAGGATGTAAAACCTTTGTGGACGAGCAATAAATCCAGGAGAGCACAAATTGCTTACACACGGGCGTAAGTGTTCACGGTCTCAGATACCCACGGACCACTTGCGCATAATCCTTTTATAGTCTAAACTCTAACTGTTCGAAAATAACGGCTATAAACTAAACGTTCTTTATTACTATATTTGCAAAATATTTTGTAATTTCATCCAAAAACTAAATGGAGCTTTTAAAGCGATACATTAATTGATATTTATCTTCATTACTACTGATCCTCCTGGTGTTTTTGTTAATAAAAAATATCGTCAGCGAGCGATTTCGACACAATACTGTAATGTTGTAATAGGCCACACAAATGCTGTAATGGACCACGTAAGGTGTCAGGGTTCGGAAGAGATTAGCTAACAAAAATGTAAGTATTGTTTAATGTGATAAAATTGAAAATGCACAAAAATTGGTAATGTGTAGACGATACAAAGGCTCTATGCAAGTGATAAGTGGGTATTCACTTTTATAAACATTAATGTCCGTGCGCAAACGATTTGTGGGCAACTGATTCGTGAACAAGTGGACCGTCGATAAACGGTTCATGTGCATATGGATTTGAGGGCAAGTGGTCTACGCGCATTCGCACACCAGTGTTATGCCTGAACATCTCGGCGACGAAGCAAATTCCGGTTGTGAGGTTAGGTCAAAGAGATTTTTGAGATCATTGCCGGTTAAGGAGTTAAAACTTGCGTGAATATAATAAAATAATGAAGGTTTATTGAAACAGAAAAAAAGAATAGATACAGTGGATCGACGTTCGTCGATTTGAGAAAGAATAAGTACCGTACGGTAACTGACAATTTTCCTGTTCCGAGTATACTCCAGGAGACCATCTAATCCGTTCGGATTCTAACTGTACACTGATTCATTTTTGGGGGTCAGCCAAAAATGCACTTCCAAAAATACGTCGAATGTGAAATTTTTATTTTTGCAAGTTGGACTTATCGATCGCTAGGTCATTTACCTTTTTGACTTAGCGCATTCTTGCACGCATGGAATGGATGGTTTGGCGATCGCACTTTTCGTGGAGTCGGGAGACTCCTAGCGCAACAATATTGAATCCAAAACTCTTATAATGAGCTACTCTCTAACAGTGTTCCGTAATCGACTATTAGCATACCATAAAACAATTACGTTGGACGTATGCTGGAACTATTAATTAGGACTAAATGCATATTTTTTATAATATGAGGTATAATTTTTCTTTCCTCTATTACACATATCGTCTTAAGACTAATGAAAATACATATGAAACTAAGAAGGTATTTAAAGCGTTTAAGTACTTACGTGTTCATTATTCCTGTTTTTTCCATAGTCATGAAAACTTATGTTCTTAGCAAGCTTTAATAACGCATGACCTTCCACTAGCAACTGTTTATATGTATTAAGGCTGGATTCTTTATGATTTTTGGCAGCACTTAGCATATCGTAGTACAGATTTTCTGGCGTAGGAAGAGCAAGTGAGTATAATGTCCAAGATTGTTCTGCTTTAGCTAAAAGGATTAGTCGAGTAATTGAAGAAAGTAAATGCTGCGTGCCCAAAAACGAGCGTAGACCTATTAAACAAACTGGTTCAGTGACCGCTGTCGTTTTAAGGTTTTTGTTTCCTGATTGCATTGCATAATTTCCTAAACGCAATGTATAAGATTCTAGGCCAGCTTCAGTCAATGCATGCAATGCTGTCGGATCAAGTACAATGTTTTTCACCGGTGCGGTAAATGAATAAGTAGTTAGGCACCTCATATTTGACTCCTGGGACATTGTTGATGACCCAAAGTGATAAAGGAAACCTGAAAGAGATAAATTCATATAATATATGAAATATTACATTAAAGTGTCCTCTAATGTATTATAAACATAGTAAATATTTTTTAAATAAATAAATTTCAAGAATTATAATTGTAATATGCTATAATAATACATATTTTTAACTGTTGACCTTAAGATTAACTATTTATTGAAATATTATTGGTTCAATCTACTCGCCAGTAAATTTGCTTTATTTGCAAATGTTTCAATCAAACAATATATTTTTAAACATCATAGCCTGATAAATATCAAATTTCATAGAATACAAGGGTGTATTTTTACAAAGCACTGTTCTTTATTTACAGATCAGGATGCCGATCATAATTGAATCTAACTGAACCCAGGATGCTAAGTACGTTCGATTAGTATTCCAAAGAAGGACACGATGAACGAAACATTGAACACAATAAAGAATAGGAGGACTGAAGAGAGAGCATAAAGAAAGCAGCGTGGTAGGGAATACATATTTTAGTATATGAACCTAGGCTTGAAGCCTCTAAAGCAACTATACGTTTATATACTATAGTCCTTACTCATACCACTCTTTAACATTAAAAGACGTCTTTTAGCACATAGATAACATTGAATAGCTACCCTACTCATATCTCTCCTTTAAGATACTTTTACAAAAACTTTCTTATAAGACACTATAAAATACGTATTTCAGTGATGGCACCTACTCATAACTAGTTTTAAGACTCTTTTAAGGAACTGATAAGTTAACAGAAAGCGGCAGTTTCTTAAAATTAGATAAGGTCATAGTAGATACACACCACTCCTGGGAGTCACAACAAACCCCCACCACTGCCCCTATGAGTCATAGAGCGCATCGCGCATCGTTTGTGTTCCCCGCACTGCACTATGATGCCACCCCCTCGTCTGATGTAGTGATACCTGGTGTTGGACGGGTGCTTATGGCGGTTAGTAGATACACACCACTCCTGGAAGTCACAACAAACCCCCACCACTATCCCGGCGAGTCATAGAGTGCACCGTGCTCCGGTCACCCGCACTGCACTATGGCGCCACCCCCTCGTTTATGCGACCAGCTCTCCCCTCCCCCTGCGACACTGTGGTGGATCCCCCACCACGTAGCCCTGGTCCTAAGGCCCAAATCCCCCAGCAGCAGCGTTGCATCTCCCCCAGGGGGCGTATCACGGTCGGTAACTATGCAATGACCGCCGGTCGGTAATTTTTAATTATCCTAAGGAGGTAAGTA